TGGTCCCTGTGAGTCCTGGGCTAGGAATGGGCCTTTGGGTCGGTGCCAGAGTTGACGTGGCCGTGACTGGCAGGAGGAAGGGCTCTGTGAACCAAAGGTGGCTCCACACGCTGCTCTATTCACAGAAAGGAGTTAATGGTCAACAAAATGCATGTAGGCCTTGGTTGGTGGTAAAGGAAGCCATAAAAGAGATGCAAACAGCATCTCCCCCTGCCAGTCAGATGCACACCTTCTCAGCTTGCTGTGAGAAAAACCAGATAGGATACGGCTCAGGATGGGTTCAGTCGGGACAGACACCCATTGCAGGTGGATTTACCAACGACTGGGACTAACGAGGTAATTTTTACGTCAGGGCTCGGGCTCCTTCCCGCTGCAGGTGCCCTTGTGTTGGCTTCTTTTCAGACCAGCTCCCTGAGGTAGAAAAATGCCCTGGGTGAGGGGCTCAGCGGGTTGGAGCGTCCTCCCCTACCCCAAAAGGTTGGGGGTTCAACTCCCGGTCGGGGCACATACCTAGGTTGTGGGTTCCATCCCTGGTTGGGGCCCCTATGAGAGGCAAACCATCCATGTTTCTCTCTCTGAAATCAAGTTTTAGAAACCATTTTTTTTAAATGGTTACAGAAAAAAACCCCCAAGATGGCGGGATAGGTAAACACTGGAGATTGCTGCCTCGCACAACCACTTCAAGAATACAACAAAAAGACAAAACGGACATCATCCAGAACCACAGGAAGGCTGGCTGAGTGGAAATTTTACAACTAGAAGGAAAGAGAAAAGTATACTGAGACTCAGAGGAGCTGCGGTGCGGAAGTAAAGTACAGAGGTACGGAGGCGCACATGGAGAGGGCTTGTGGCTGAGGACACGGTTGTCTTTTTCAATTGTAGGGAGTCTCAAGCTCTGAGCTCCATTTCCGGGCGAGTCTCTGGGGACCCAGACTCATATGGGAGAAACTGGACTGTCTGGCACCGATCGGAACTCGAGGGCAGCTTTCTCTCAGAGGTGGTTGCAGCGATTGCCTGACACTGAGAAGCGGGGCCTCTGAGGGCATCATACCTGCTTGCTCCACCCTGTTCATCCTTTGGCACCCCCGCCCCGCCCAAGCTGTGCACCACAAGCATATGACTGTCCTGATTCTTTATCCCTCCAATGTCTCTCAAACTAAAGGATTCAGTCCCAGTCCCTCACAGTCCTGTGTGAGGTTGTGACGAGCGGGCGGGGGTGGATGCGGACATGTGAGCAGAAGCCTGTGGTGAGAGACCTGGGAGCCTTCGTTGCCTGTAAGGCCGTGTGCAGGATGCCCAGCTGCCACGGGCTCGCTCAGCATGATTCAGGCTCCACAGAGACACGGCAGGACAGACAACTGCTGCCTGCACTGCATCCTGCGTGGGCCAGGTCCTGGGAAGGGCAGAGGGATCCTCTCTGCAGGGAAGCCCCTCCCTCCAGCGTCCTCTCCAGGGAGTGGAATTGGAAAGGCCTGAGGACACAGTAATCCCCAGCCGTCCCCTCAGCCAATGTCAACTTCAATTGCTCTTCCCAATAGTGGCCCTGAGCCTTTCTCTTCTCCTATTGCAGGGGCTGTCATTTCACACAGCACTACTCTCAGCACATCCTTGGTCGATGGGTTTAGGCTTTCGGATTTGAGCTTCCGCTCCTATAAATATTGCTGACTTTACGTGGCCAGTGGCAATTAGTGTGACCACTGCCCTCCCCCGAGGTTCCTACAGAAGAGAAGGGCATTGTCACTTCTGCAGGTGTTTATTGAACTGTTCAGACTTCATGAAACACTTACAGAGGAAAAAGCATTGTGTGGGAGATTCTTAATCTTTCACGTTATTGCTTTGGATTTAAAATCAGTGTAAATAATTAATTTTCTAAATATAAAAATGATTCTGATAACAAATAGAATACTACTGGTGTGCATTTGGAACATATCATAGATTTTAAATGAAAAGTAAAAATCCATCAGATTTTTAAAATCCATTATGAGCTCATTCCCTGCCTTTTGCTGGTTTCTGTGGATCAGGTTGGAGATGTGGCACGTGATGCGTTTTCATTTCTTGAAGAAAGTGTTTTATCCCTCGTTCACGATAAGACCCTCGACGGTTTAGAGGGATAGAGTCCATCCTTCAGTTTCCCTGATTCTGGATGGAGAAGGAGGAGGTGGAGGAAGCAGGGAGTGAGGCAGGTGGGAAGGTGAACAGAGCAGAGTCTGGGGCAGTCACAGGAGGGGAAGGAAAAGGGGCGCAGGAGGGGAGAAAGCAGAGGGACTCCTGACACCTAAGGGGAATGATGGAGCTGGGGCCAAGGAGGGAGCAGGAGACCCAGAGGAGAAGACAGGCCCAGGGAGAGATGGGGAGGGGGGAGCAGGAGGGAGGAACCTCACCCAGAGTCTGTTCTCCAGCATCTTAGACTGGGCTCCTAAGTGTACTTCCACTTTAGTCCTGGGCCAGAGCCTTGGGTTGTCCTTGTCCACGAAGGTGTCCCAGCAGTGCTGGAGCTCTAGGGGAACAGGGAGGGAAAGGTGAGCTCCTTCTAGAGCGGGGAGGGCCCAGGTGTCTGACTCTAGGGACACACCCTCCTCATCAGGATCTCCCTGCCCCCTTTCTCCCTCCTCCCAAGGCACTGAGCTCATCCCTCAAATTCTTTCTTCCACTGGAATCTGAGGCAGCCCCTCCCCTTCTACCAGGAAGGACCTGGGTCCTGATGGCACAGGGACCCACGTCCCCCCTTCCCAGGACCCCTTCTCTCCCCTGAACTCTCTCCTCAGGGGGACTCCATCCTCTCCAGACCCAGCAGCCCCCCTGCAGGCAGCTGACAGGGGTCCCCACCTGGATTCTCCTCCTGCCCCCTCTGTGTAGCCATTTCCCAGCCTCTCTGCCCGCCCACCTCCACCCTCAGGAGTCCCTGCTGACCATCGCGGGTCATGATGGCGAGTTGGGCCCCAGCGTCCCGCAGGTTGCGCAGGCCATCCTCATGTCCACGGAATCTGGTTTGGATGCCAGCACGAACATGCGCAGGCTCACGTTGCTTTTCAAGCCCAGGAATTGAACCAGCTCCAGAGCACAGTCAGGGCAGGGGCTCCAGGAGATGTAGCAGGTGAGTCTGTACTGCTTCCCCTTATCCAGGTGCCAAGATGGGACCCGATCCAGGAAGCACAACTCCGCAGGACGGTGTTCCCTGTGTGTGTCAGCACCCTGAGCACAGAGGGGGGAGAAGAGGGATCTGTCACTTGCTGTGAACAGGGGAGGGTGGCACCGCCAGAGGCAGGTGAGGCTCTGGCCTCCAGCACAGGATTGAAGGGGCACAGCTGAGCGTCAGGATGAACGCTATTTCAATGCAGGATCTACACGGTCAATGGTAAGGCAACTCATGAATCACATGATATCAGCATCTACAAATGGCACATCAGCAGTGAGGACTTTCCTGCATCAGCAAACCATGGCTCCCATGGCTCTGTAACTGATCGTCTTCACTTAGCCTGTTGATATTCCATTCACCATGGAATTTGCATTAGGTTTGATTTTTTAAAGTATGGCATTAAATATGGTTATTTTTTCAAATCCTCACCTGGGGAGATTTTTTCCATTGATCTTTAGAGAAAGAGTGAAGGGATGGAGGAGGGGGCAGAGAGAGAGAAACATCAATGTGGGAGATACACATCCACTGGTTGCCCACCCCACGCTCCACAACCCGGGCCAGGGATCAAAGCTGCAACTGAGATAAGTGCCCTTGGCCTGGAATCGTACCCCTGGCCCCTGGCTGTGCAGGCTGACGCTCTAACCACTGAGAACACAGATCTGGGCTCCATGTGATTCACCTTGGTACAGAGTTCCAGAGAGCCTCTATTTGTGCCCAAAGCCTATGCTTTCAGGAGCTGCACCTGGTCAGACCCTGCAGGGGGACAAAGAGCTGAGGGCAGCCAGCCGGTGTGGCTCATTGGGTTGAGCAGCGACCCATCCACAAACAGGTCACTGGTTCCATTCCTGGTCAGGGCCTAGGCCCAGGTTGCAGATTTGATGCCCAGTAGGGGGCGTGCAGGAGGCAACCAACCAATGGTTCTCTCTCAGCACTGATGTTTCTATCTCTCTCCCTTTCTCTCTTAAATCAATAAAAGTCTTACAGATAGATAGATAGATAAGTATAAATAAATAAATAAATAAATAAATAGCTGAGGACAGAGGGAGGAGGCAGCTGAGCCCCAAGGTCCTGGGCCTGATGCCACAGGGGTGGGTGCTCCCTCCAGGCAGGGGAGCTCTCCCTCTGCTCTCCTACCTCCAGCTCCCGCCTGTGCACCAGCACCTCCACACGCTTCTACTCTGGGCTTCCCCCTGTGCTGCGCCCAAGGGTGACACAACTCTGCAGGAAGAAGGGGTGAGGGCACCGAGGCAGAGGTGTGGGAGACACGGGATGAGCGTCACTGCTGGGCTCACAGGGTTATGGAGATTAGCCCACCCGCCCAGGGAAGGATTTTCAACCAGGGGCTCAGGGAGGAGGAAGAAGTCAGGCCCACAGAGCTAGCGCAGAGCCCTGGTGGCAGAGGATGGTACCTGGGGACCCAGGAGGCGTCCTGGGCTACGTGCAGCTGGCAATGCACGTGTGGGGACAGCACCCTCCAGGCTCTCCCAGGAGTGACTGGAGGGAGCACCAAGGGGGAGCTCTGGCTCTCTGGCCAAAGGAGGCCCTGGATGGGGTCAGGGGAGAACGGCCTCTTTGTCCAGGTGCCTTTCCCTCTGGCCTGACCCCTCCTCAGAGGCACAGCAGGAGGGACATGCTGACCCTGGAGGCTGGGCTGACCCTGGGCTGGTGGGCCCAGGCCCTGGGACACTGTGACTGCTTTCTGATGTGGGACTCCAAGCTGCCAATCACAGCAGAGTCCGTCCTCCCTGCCTCTGGGCAACACCACAGCAGCTGGGGGCCAAGGGACATTGCTCAGAGGACACCCCGCGGGCATGGGACCTTCCCCCTGAGTGTCCCGGGGGCCCTGCCTGCTGTGCTCGCTCACCTGGTTGCGCAGGAAGCCCTGGAGCTCCTTCCCTGGGACCCAGGCGTCGCCCTCCCGGACCTCCACCTCGTAGCACAGGTGTGTGTTTTTTCTCCCAGTCGTGACCGAAGTTGACTCAAAGGTGGTTCCATTTATCAGGGGTCTGTGGGCACAGGCAAGAGGAACCCAAGGCATGGGGTCCTCTGGGGATCACCCCGTTCTCCTCTCCTCTGCACCCACATCCCAGCTAGACCCACAGAGGATGGGTGTCCACTCACTTAGCTGGAGCCACCTAACCTCCCTCTCTGACAACTTCGGGGGCTCCTGGGGGAGTCAGCCCAGTCTTTTTGTCAGGGTTCCCCCGGGAGCAGTGCAGGGGCTCAGAGCTCTGACGGGGCCTCTCCTGGCATCACCGTCCTGCCCTCGTCCCGCTGACCCAGCCCTGCTAGGTGCAGCCCAGTGGCGCTGTTTCCTCTGCTCTTCCGGGTTAACCTGAGCCACATGGTGCATCAGGGGAAAGGGTGGCCCCATCGGGGAAAAGAGATGCCAAACTAGTCTTCCCAAATAACTCATGACATTTCCCTTCTCATCATGAAAACAATCGTGTCCTTTACAAAAACAAAAACATAGATCTGAACGTGACCTCCTGGGGCAGTGATGGCGAAACTTTTGAGCCCAGCGTGTCAGCATTTTGAAAAACCCTAACTTAACTCTGGTGCCGTGTCATATATAGAAATTTTTTGATATTTGCAACCATAGTAAAACAAAGACTTATATTTTTGATATTTATTTTATATATTTAAATGCCATTTAACAAAGGAAAATCAACCAAAAAAATGAGTTCACGTGTCACCTCTGACACGCGTGTCATAGGTTCGCCATCACTGTCCAAGGGCCTCAGTGCAGAGCAGAAAGAATAGATTTTGATATTTATTTTATATATTTAAATGCCATTTAACAAAGAAAAATCAGTGCAGAGCAGAAAGATGACAAGCAGGAATCTCCTAGGTTCTCCAGACACACCCACAGGCCCCCGTCTGAGTGGCAGGAGGCAGAGGACGTCACCACTCCCAGGCGGGTTTGCCAGAACCTCAGCATCGAATCAGCTCCTCATCATCAAAACAGAGGACACGTTGTTGTATGTTTCTTTTTAATATCTGTTATTGATGCCAGTTGGTGCTGGGTTGTCCTCCATGTCTCAGCTCCTTCACCTTCTCTGCAGGTCATGGCCTGTCCTCCCCCTGTGCTGCTTTCAAGGACCGAGGTGCCTTATATGCCATAGAGGCACCTGGAAACTGCTGAGCTGGCACTGCTTCACCCCACCCCTTCCCTAAACTCAGGCCACTCCTGGCACCCACATGGCGTCAGAGAAGAGGGAAGTTTTTTGCGCAAATGTCTCATCCTGTGCCCTCAGGGGCAAGTTAGGTTTTGATTTCTCTGTTCTGACAAAGGCCCTCCCTGAACTGACCTGGGCCAGTGAGGTCCCAGGAGGTGGGGTCACCCTGGGCAGCACGGCACAGCCAGGCAGGAGGCGAGAGCACTGGTGGGAGGACAGGTGCTCCTACCTGAGGAGGGTCCGGGCACAGGACACGGACCCCACACAGGACAGGCCCCGGGTGCTCACCCTTGACTCTCCCGCGGCCGCCAGTGCATGGCATGGCCGGGCCCAGTGCAGGGACCTGTGGGGCTGAGCCAGGAGGGAGACTCTGCCCTGAGAGGAAGGGCAGGGGGGGACCAACGTGAGCTGAGCTCTCCTTAGGAGCCACCCTGTAGGGAAAAGAACTGGACTCGGAGCCTTTGTCCGCCCATCACACAGAGGAGAACAGAGAGGCTCCCAGCAGGGCTGGGCCAGGATGGCCTGGGAGCAGAGGATGCAGGGTGTGCCCGCCTCAGGAAGGGGCACCGCTCGTCCTCTCCACCCCAAGCCGCAAGGAACGGGGGACTTTGTGTTCCAGGCTCAAGTGTGACCTGAGCCCCAGCTGGTAGAGTTTGTCCCCGAGGGGATGCCCCTCTGTCCCACTGACTGTCCATCCGGCTCCGCTCAGACCACTCTGTGCCGGCCCCACGCTCCCTCCCAGGGGACATGCCAGCGCAGCCCCGGGTCTGTCCTCAGCCCACTCCATGGGGCATGCTGGCTCCGTGGCTGTGGCTAATTCCCTTGCTTCCAGCTGGTGGTCCCACCGCTGGTGCCACTTATATGACAAAGGTTCGGTCTTGGCACACAGCTGCGCTTGGGCAAGGGGCCCGAATGCTGCCCTAACTCACCAAACACACACACATAGACACCCACACCACACACACACACACACAGACACACACACAGACACACACATACGCAAGCAGATGACAAGCAGGAATCTCCTAGGTTCTCCAGACACACCCACAGGCTCCTGTCTGAGTGGCAGGAGGCAGAGGACGTCCCCACTCCCAGGCGGGTTTCCAAGAAACTCATCATAGAATCAGTTCCTCATCATCCAATCAGCTCCTTGGGTTTCGATTCCCTGGACTCTGGCAAGAGCCCCCACTTCTCTTCCTGGAAGCCATTGACCAAGATGCAGTCACTCTGGGAAAGCGGATGAGCAGGTAGAAGACACGTGGTCTCACATGACAAGAGGGGTCCCCACTCTCTGCGCTGTCACATGCAGGTCCAGGCAGACCTGACCCCCAGCTCCCAGGGCCCCATCGCCCCGGACCTGAGGGCTCAGAGCTTTGCCCCTGACACGGGGACCTGAGACCTCAGAGAGGGTAGCTCGCAGCTGAGGACACGGCTGGGCCCTGGGCTCCCCACCTCAGCCTGTCCTCCTGCCGGAAGGCACCTGCGGGAGGGCAGACCTGGGCCTCATGCAGAGCAGCATCTTGCCCGGCCAGTGTGGCTCAGTGGTTGAGCATCGACCTATGAAGCAGGAGTTTGCGGTTCAATTCCCCGTCAGGGCACATGCCCGGGTTGTGGGCTCCATCACCAATGAGGGGGTGCAGGAGGCAGCCGATCAATGATTCTCTCTCATCATTGATGTTTCTAAGTTTATCTCCCTCTCCCTTCCTCTCTGAAATAAAAAAAAATATTAAAAAGAAACATACAACAACCTGCCTTCTGATTTGATGATGAGCAGCTGATTGGATGATGAGATTCTGGCAAACCAGCCCG